TCCCCACTTTTCTCCAGAACTCCTCACGTCCTCCCCCCTCTCTATCACCACATGTTACCCACTCTTTATAATATGCACACACACTTTGTTTGATTTTTATTTTATTTTTTTTAAAATTCAAATAATTCTTAACTAACTCCCCACGTCCCACTCCTCACATCCCAACTATCCCCTCAATCCAATCCCATGATCTTACACACATTATATATAAATAGCACACACTTAGAAGGGGGGGAGGAGACGGAGAGGACCTGAAGAAATATTTAATTTTTCTAAAGAAAAAGTTTGGCTAGCTTTAGTCTTTCATGAGCTGTAGGAAAAAAAAAATAGAAGTAGAGTTAGTAATGATATTTGAAGGCACAATGGAGAAGTGTATTTGAGTTTGGAGTGAAAGTTCCTTTCGAGTTCCGTTTCCTTAGAGATTAACCGAGGAGAGCTTAGCTCGTGATTTTTCTGTTCGCGGTTCGTTGTCGCTTTTCACATTCGACATCGAATATTATTACATTCGTTGGATTTTCTAGGAAAATATTTTGCTTCAAAGGTCAGCATACTTACTTAATTCTTATTATTGTTATGTGTGATGGAAGATATGAAGATTTATTCAATTCAAGTTTAAATTTTTTTTCTCTGTATTCTTTTGTCTTTGAGTAAAATTCGTTGTTTTCATCTTTATAATGCTTACATGTTTGTTTGGGATGAGAATAAAAGCTAAGTAAAAAAGAAATGATTTTAAGCTTTAATAGTATCTCTAGTTTAAATCTTTAGATATTCGTTTTAATAAAGAAAGTTCATGTTTCTAAATGATTTATTAGATTAAAAGATGTTGCCGTAAATTTTGTGGTATATTGCAGAATCTTCAATTAATAATAAATAATTCTTTCTATTATGAGGAAAAAAAANTAAAGAAAGTTCATGTTTTTAAATGATTTATTAGATTAAAAGATGTTGGTATAAATTTTGTGGTATATTGCAGAATCTTTAATTAATAATAAATAATTCTTTCTATTATGAGAAAAAAAATTGTGTTTGTTTCGTTTGTGTTCATGATATTTGAGTTTGAAGGAAAGTTTATGAGACTGGACATCCATTTGTTTATTTGAACTAGAAGATACTTAGGAAATGTCTCGCTATATTCTCTTAGATAGACTAGGTATCTCATGATATTTTATTTTACACTTTATATATTTAAAAGAAAAGAAAAAAAAAGGAAAAGAACAAAAAGAACGTCGGGCGATGTATTTAGAATCGTTAAGTTCACTAAAAAGTTTCTTGGGCTTAATATTATTTTTTCAAAATTTTTTTATTAGAGTTTAATCTTCATAAATGGAATTGACATAATCCTTTAAATTTTCTGTTACTAATTGTTATGATTTATGACGATTTAAATTTCTCAATTTAGGTTTATAGTTTAGTTTCTTTTATACCGTATCCATATGTTAAAAAAGAATTCATGTAGCTCTTTGTAAGCTATTTGATAAGTGACGTTATGTGTGTTATATTCGTGAGTTGAGCAACTTGTTCTTAAATAACTTGCTCCTAATTTTATTTTAACTAATGTATTTATTTTTATGTTTTCTGTTATGGTTTATGTGAATTAATTATTTGGGTTATTTCGTTCCGTCCTATACTTTGTTGTGAATTTAGCAGTTGCTACGAGAATGTTCTTAATTAATTAAGTTATTTCATAGTTAGCCCAAATCATAAAATAATGGCTTGCTAGTTAGAACTAAAAACAAATATTCATAAGTGAGTGAGAAATGCGGATTACGAGTTAATTTAAAGTCTGTTGTAAAAAATTAAAAAGAAAAGTAAGAGTGGTAAAAGAAATTGTGAGTGAGCGAGATGAGTTAGGAACTAATTCAAGACTCGTTGTAATAAGTAAAAATATTAATATAGAAATAAATATCTCAGATCTAAAAAGATAAATAAATGAAATACTTTGAATATGCTACTATGCTTTAGGCACGTGTTAATCAATTGAATCATCGTGATTATGTATACGTTCGCGTGACATAAGGACTCTGAATCTAATAAATAATCTCATTTCGATTAATGTCACTTAAATTGGAAAAACTCCTTTGGCACCATTCCCCGGGAAAAAGGAGGTGTGACATCGACTTTTGCCATTTCAAGCCTAAATCAGCGACAGACCTCCAAAATACAATTCGGACACGCCCCTAAGTCTAAAATCACCCAACGGAGCTAACAGAACCGACGAAACTCCATTCCGGAGTAGTCTTCACATAGTTTCAACTACAGTCAAAAATCCTAAGACTTAAGCTTCCGTTTAGGGACTAAGTGTCTCAATTCACTCCGAAACTACAACAACAACTTCTCGGCAAGTCACATAAGCAGAAAAAGATACGGAAAAGGCAGTAAACAGGGGATCGGGGCTATAACTCTCAAAATTACCGGTCGGGTCGTTACATCCTCCCCCTCTTGAGATAATCGTTCGTCCTCGAACGAGTATAGAGACATACCTGAAGTGGTGAAAAGATAAGGATAACAGCTGCGCATATCATGCTCGGTCTCCCAAGTTGCCGCCTCGACCGGCTGACCCCTCCACTGAACCTTCACAGAAGCAATATTCTTTGACCTCAGCTTTCGAACCTGCCTGTCCAAAATAGTCACTGGCTCCTCAACATAAGATAGATCCTTGTCCAACTGGATTGAGCTGAAATCCAGCACATGAGATGGATCATCGTGATACTTCTGGAGCATACAAATATGGAATACCAGATGAACTCCTACTAGATTGGGAGGTAAGGCAAGCTCATAAGCAACCTCTCCAACTCGCCGCAACACGTCAAAGAGACCAATGAACCTTGGGCTCAGCTTGCCCTTCTTCCCGAACCTCATAACGCCCTTCATAGGCGAAACCCAGAGCAAGACCCGCTCTCCAACCATGAATGTAACATCGCGAACCTTCCGATCCACATAACTCTTCTGTATGGACTAGGTTGTGCGAAATAGATCCTGAATCACCTTCACCTTATCTAGGGCATCCTGAACTAAGTCTGTACCCAATAATCTAGTCTCGCCCGGCTCGAACCAACCCACTGGAGACCGACACCGCTTACCATACAGAGCCTCATATGGTGCCATCTGGATGTTCGACTGATAACTGTTGTTGTAGGCAAACTCCGCATCTGGCAAGAACTGATCCCAAGAACCTCCAAAATCTATCACACACGCACAAAGCATATCCTCTAATATCTGAATAGTGCGCTCGGACTATCCATCCATCTGAGGGTGAAATATTGTGCTCAACTCAACTCGAGTACCCAACACCTGCTGTACAGCCCTACAGAACCGTGATGTAAAACTGCATATCCCGGTCAGAGATGATAGATACCGGTACGCCATGAAGCCTAACAATCTCGCGGATATAAATTCGAGCCAACTGCTCGGAAGAATAGGTAGTTATCACAGGAATGAAATGAGCTGACTTGGTCAACCTATCCACAATCACCCAAACTGTATCAAACTTTCGCCGAGTCCGCGAAAGCCCAACAACGAAATCCATAGTGATCTGCTCCCATTTCCACTCCGGAATCTCTAACTTCTGAAGCAACCCACCTGGCCGATGATGCTCATACTTCACCTGCTTGCAATTTAGACACCGAGCTACATGTTCTACTATGTCCTTCTTCATTATTCTCCACCAGTAATGCTACCTCAAGTCCTGGTACATCTTCGCGTCACCCGGATGAATGGAGTACCGCGAGTTGTGAGCCTCCTCCTAGAGAATCAACTCGCGCAAACCATCTACATTGAGCACACATAGCCTGCCATGCATCCTCAATGCACCATCATCCCCAATAGTGACCTCCTTAGCATCATCGTGCTGAACCGTGTCCTTAAGGACAAGCAGATAGGGGTCATCATACTGACGCTCCCTAATACGATCATAAAGAGAAGACTGAGAGACCACACAAGCCAATACTCGACTCAGCTCAGAAATATCCAATCTCACAAACTGGTTGGTTGAGGCATGTACATCCAACGCCAATGGCCTCTCTGCTGCTGGTAGATATGCTAAACTCCCCAAACTCTCTGCCTGGCGACTCAAAGCATCGGTTACCACATTGGCCTTTCCCCGGATGGTACAAAATGGTAATATCATAGTCCTTAAGTAGCTCCAACCCCCTCCGCTGACGCAAGTTAAGATCCATCTGTTTAAACAGATGCTGCAAACTCCGGTGATCAGTGTAAATCTCACAAAGGACACCGTACAAATAGTGCCGCTAAATCTTCAAGGCATAAACAATAGCTGTTAACTCAAGGTCGTGGACAGGATAGTTCTTTTCATGCACCTTTAACTGTCTGGACGCGTAGGCAATCACCCTAACGTCTTGCATCAACATTGCACCGAGACCAATCCACGATGCATCACAATATATAATATGCCTAAAACTTTTCCTTTTTGACCAACATGAGAGATATCTCTATCTTATACTGTAGAAGCCCAACTTTCTCTTACACTCTACGATTCTTCAGCTGGTTTCATTTGGGCCGAAGAAGTCTGGCACTACTCTGCTGGAAACCAAAAAATTGCAAAAATGTAACACCTTTTGGGTGGTTTTTAACTTTTGTCTCTTGCTTAATTCATAGTTAGAATTTTAAGGTCAAAAATTAAAATTGTTTTCCATGGACAAGCAAACAGGCAATACTGGTTAAACTTGAAGTTTTGTCCATTAAATTATTTGTGTACTTCACCCACCGGAGGCATAGGAAAAATGTGCCTAAACTCTGTAACATTCAACAAGTGAGGAAAAATTCGCCCCAAGCTTATTTTGGAACCCATTTAATTTCAATCGATGTGACTAAATCAACTTTATTAAAGTAAATCATTAAATAAATCATTATAGGATTCTTATTTAAATAATCTGCTGCTTTAACAGGTGACCTTGAGGAATGAGGCCCCTATTGCTCCATTATAATCATATCAAGATAAAATGGTAGAGCAATCTCTACGGAGAATTTCTACTATTAAAAACTCACTAAAAATAACATATCGAGATATACTTATAACTAATTAAGCCGGGTACAACATGGTACATAACATCTTACATACTTTCCAAACTAAAACCCACATGACTTTGCAACCAGATTTATCAATCAAGCCAGACATGATTTGCTACTACTATCTCATATGATATATGAAATTCAATAAGCTAGGTCCACCCAAAACACACTTGTAAGATAAAAATAATATACTATTAATTAAGGGCACTTGGTCTTGTTTCCGTGAGTGGTCATTTCGGTGTAACATTTGCCACACATCTCTCTGTTGCCAAAGGTACCTGGTGGCACACATTTGCACCTTAGACAACATGTTCCACATGCCCTTATACACACTTTTGGCCTCGAGTGTAAACTGCATCTGTATTTGCATAACCCTCCACAATCCAATTGGCTTGGATGTGGAGCTGGTGCAGGTGCTACAGCCAGATCCCCATTGTTCAAGTATTTTACAAGCTTTAAAACTGCATACAGTAAATTACTTTATGCCTCAGTGTATATAGAAGAGCTTCTCAGTGAGAAACAGTGGTTGCTCTGTTGAGAATAATATAAGTAACTGAAAAATTGCCGAACTTTCAATTTTACGAGTTAAACATAAGAGTTGCGTCCAATTTTGTTATGCGATTAAGGATAGATAAAATAAATCATCATACATTGAATAAAATAGCATAAAGGTAGTATTACCAGCTAAAAAATTTTAATATCCAAAAAGGTAATGAAGAAAACAACCGTGAAGGAGAAAAAAAGAATTGATGCTTTCAATAACTACAAGGTCAAATGAAATATACCGAAATTTTGGATAATGTGTAATATTTAGCCAAAAAAATACAATATGCGAGGCAAATCTAAGGTGTTGACTCAGCAAAACCAATTCTGAACATTGTAGTATTCCTCAATCCAATGATAGGCAACCTCGAAATGAAAATTTCACCATAAAAAAAAGGCAAAATACAAAATTGGCCCGTGCTAGTCAAATATACAAAAAAAAATATACATATATGTATAATATATATTAATATATAAAAAATATATATTTTATCAGCTATTATTTTTTGGACCTTTTGTATTGTGTAGTTTCCCCAAAATAAAATGTTGAGAAAGATAAATTTACAAGCATGAAGGTACTTTGCGGACCAGTTAAAAATTTGCAGCATATTCCTTAAAACTTGAAAGATTAATTCCCTCGGTTAAATATTCCTTATGCCAATTTCATCATTCTTTTCTTATTCCAATTTCTAAAGAACATTTCACTAATAAAGAATTTTCTTCTCTACAGTGTTTTACATGTTTTTCGCCTTCAGGAGTAAAGTTCACGATCTTCAAAGCCAACATCTTATATTTATTAAAATACAACACAATTAAAACTCGCCTTAAAACCTAAGTGTAGTCTAATAAAAATTTTAGATTGGGTCGAGTATTTAAGGTTTTACATTGTGTACAGGACATCTAAAAAAGTTATAAATGTCTTACACCTTTCTATCAATTGTTATATTATTTGTACTACGAGAATAGTTGCACAATATAATCTTGTTAAAGCCACTCTTAAAATTTTGTCCCGTTTAGCTCAAGTGGCTAAATTTTTCTTTTAAAAGAGGTTTAATAAAATTTTCCTTTTCGGATATTTTCTTCCCCTAGATTAAGGGTACAACAACAATAACAACCCAGTATAATCTCACTAGTGAGGTCTAGGGAGGGTCGTGTGTACGCAGACCTTACCCCTATCATGAGGAAGTGAAGGTTGCTTACCATCACAGCAACCTAGATTAAGGATACATAATTCAAATAGTAGCCACACAAAAAAAAAGTTAGTGAAAATGTGGCTATTGGATGTTTAACTTTTTTTTTTGGTTAAAATTGGATGTTTAACTTAACCAACCTATTAGTTCTTACACGTGTATCTAAATTAAAGTTCACAGAGACAAGAAAATGTTATGTTATTTAAAATGAAGTGTGTATAAAAGACATCCAAATGAATTTATGAAGATGTTTAAGAGCACCTCATCTATTGGATTAAAGTTTTTTTTTTTTGGGCTAAAGATTTGACTAAAGTTTTTCAGTAAGATGTTTTAGGCCAAGCTTCTAAAATCAGCTTATTTTGAAAAGTGTTTTTCTCAAAAATACTTTTTTGGTAATAAATAATTTATGTTTAACTAATTAATTTAAAAACAGTAATTAGTGTTTGGCTATGCTTTTAAAATTTATTTTTAAGTATATGTTTCTCAAAAATACTTATAAGAAACTATTTTTATTTCTACTCAAAAGCACTTTTTTCCATCTCACCTCAATTTTAGGGAAAAAACACTTTTGGTAAAATTAAAAAAAAACACCTCTGGTCCAAAAATAAGCTTCTCCAAAGAGGATATTAACCTCTTTGACATTAGAAAGGAAGTTGGTGACTTGACTAGTCACACTCATCACTGTTTCACTTCGGAGTCATCATGTGGTAAATTTAATTTTTCACTTGCAGTTCGATTAATGTGACATTTAATTAGTATCCCTGTAAAGCAACCCATCAGAGGTGCATTTATTTCAGTTGAATCACGAACGGAAACGTGATCTTTGTACGCGCGGCAGAAAATGGTTTCCTACTCATCACTAACCAGTCGAAAGCACTTAAAAGAAGTACTATTACTATTGTTAAATTGCGGCACTATAGGTTGTTATTATTATTGTTACTTTTAATATTGTCTACAATGGACTTTGCACTACCTTAAAAAATTCAAACACATATTTTACCTTAACACCATAACAATGACATGAGTAGTATTTTATGACTCACCTACGCCTTGAACCAGCCGCCTGTTGGCTCCTCTGGTGAAAACCTAAAAATGAAAACCAACAGAGCTCAGATAACAAGGAGTGAATAGTTTTCTCCTACCATACTAATTAACTGGATTCATCAAATAATAGAACAAATCCAATTAGTATTTGAAAAGATTGAAAAGCTAAGTATAAATATAGAGATACTTTTAATAGTGTGAGAGTTTAAGAAAAAAACTATATGTGGGATCTATAGGCCAGTTTAGCCCAATAGTAGTAGTAAAGAAAAAAAAGGAGAGAAGACAGATTAGTATTAAAAGAAATTAAAGAAGTAGAGAAGATGCAAATACACGAAATGCCTGGCTGAGGCCAAAATGTTGTGATTTATCTTCTTCAACCTTGGGATCAGTTAAAGAAACCTGCATGCATGGAATATAATACAGTCAATCAAATTTAGAGCAAAATAAATATATGTAGAGACAATTAAAGACCACTTCTCTACGATATCCCAGTAAGGTAACTATGGTGGAAGAAGACTATTTACCTCGGCCTTAACCCCCAAAAACAGAAGTAAAAGAGCCATTACAAAAACCAAACGAATCGCCATCGCCATGATCTGACTAGTTTTGTTACTCTGTCCGCTCCAAGAAAGCTCGACTATAAGGACTACCACTGGTTGTGTACTCTTTTATAGTTGCAGATCTGTTCATTTTTATTTCTTTCTTACCATAATTTGGGACCCTCGTTAATAATCTTCTGATCTATCGCTTGTGTTTAATGGTGCACCAGTAGTACAGCTGTTTCCTAGATCAAATACACTATTGGTTTAGAATTTCGAGCTACAACAATTCTAAAGTTTCTATCACATTAATGCTTTAATTTATTCTTTTGCGTCTACTCATATGATATTTGCTCTTCTTTTTTTCTTCTGCTGTCATTGTCATAATTTTTGCACTCGTAGTCATGTAAATGAAAACACTTCTAAGCTGTTTTTGGAATTTTTGCAAAAAAGTAAAATTTATTCGCTAATAGTATTTGGCTGAATTATTTTTGAAAAGAAATTGAATAAGTTATACCAAAAACAAATTTAACACTTCTTGAAAAAAAAAAACCTTACTTTAAGAAATATGTGGATTATGTGTTTTCATTTCAATGCAATTAAATGTCCCCACATCTCCACCTTCTTTATGTGACCGTACCGTCATATGTACGAGAAAACATGTGTTTTCCTTCTTTTTAAAAGCTTTAATTTTAAACGCTACCAGTCAAACATTTTCAAAAAGATGAAATTATATTTTCGTTTGTGATTAAAACAAAAAAGGGTTAGGTAGCCCAGTTTTGTCATTATTTGTTACAATAGTTTTCGTAGGCCACGGAGTATCTTTAGTTATTTTTGTATTTCTAAACTTTTGTTATTACTTATTGTTTTCGCTTTGATTTTCTAATTGCATTATCTAGTATTTTATTTTATTTTTTCTCCAAAATTAAGAGCATCTATAGTGTTTTCACGCTTCCCCTCCATAGGTAGAGGTATTTTTACCAACTGAGCAAGTCTCTCTTGTCACACTACCTGGTGTTAGTTTTATGTTTCCGCTTGATTTTCTAATTGGTTTGTTTGTCATTGCCCCTTCCCTTTATCTTTTCTGAGCCGAATGTCTACCGAAAATATATCTGCCTTTTAAAGATAGGTGTAAAGTCTGCATTCACACTACCCTCCCCAAACCCTACTTGTGAGAATACACTGTTTTTTTATGTTGTTGTTGAGCACATTTCATTGGCCAGTTGGATTTTTTTATTTTTATTTTACTTGTATATACTACATTAGAAACTTATTTACCCTCACTGTTTAGATTTTAACTTAATTACAAGTTAATATACAATTTATCAATTATATAAAAACTAGTATTAATAAGTATTATGTTAGGAATTGAATAAAGAATATGAATTATTGACAAGGTGGGTTGCTCTGATGGTAAGCACCCTCCACTTCCAACAAAGAGGTTGTGAGTTCGAGTCACCCCAAGAGTAAGGTGGGTAGTTCTTGGAGGCAAGGATGCCAAGGGTCATTTGGAAACAGCCTCTCTACCCCAGGGTAGGGGTAAGGTCTGCGTACACACTACCCTCCCCAAACTCCACTAGTGGGATTATACTGGGTTATTGTTGTTGTTGTTGTTGTTGAGTTATTCTCTCTTCCCCTCTCTCTTTCTCTATCTCACATTCTTTGTTTTTTTTTCAATTTTTCTTCCTTCGATTTTCTCTGTTTTATGTCTTTTCTTATCTACATTATTATTTTTTTACCGTATAATTCGTCAATAGATATCAATCGTTTTACCATAGAGTTTTAACTTCTCATTTTTTTTAACTGTTAATCAATAATTTTGAAGGTGTTTGACTCTCCACCTTTGACAGCCATTAAAAGCTTCAAAATTTTGAATTCGAATTTGTGTTTTTATAAAATGTTATTTGTTTGGACTTGATATCGTTGCAAATAATTTGGAATATCTTTGGAGTTTATATCTCAATTTTGATGATATTTGGTGAAGATTATAGTTAATTTTGCCAGTATTTCATATTGAAACTCGAATAAAAAAAACATATGACATTCGATATAGATATAAAATTGTATTAAAATTATATTATAATTATATGCAAATTGTATTTAAGTTGTATTATGTTCTAGTTATATTTTTTTATTTGAATTTGTATAAAAGTTAAAAAATAGTTGTATAATATATAAATAATCGTATGAAATTTGTATTTAAGTTATAAATGCTATCTTTTTAAATAAAGTTGTTAATATATATCAAAGTTGTATTAAGAAAGAAAGTTTTGATTGGAATTTCAAAGAAGAAAAAGAATACATTACATATAAAATATATACATGTCATATACAATATATATACAGAAGATATTTGTATAATTTTTGCATGAAAATTGTATTTAAGTTTTGTTGTTGTATTTAACTACGTAAAGATTTTGTATAAAGTTGAAGATAAGTTATATATTACTATATAATTAGTTTTATAAAATTTATTTTTGGTTTATATGTTGTTATAGATATATCAAATTTGTACGAAATTTATTTTTAAATTGTAAGCGATAGAAAATAGGGAAAGAGGAGAGGAGAGAAAGAAAAAAATAGTGTAATTGAATCCCCTAATTTAACGTAGTAATAATAGATTGTATATGGAGAGAGGCAGCAAAGAATAGGGAAACAGAAAGAAAAAAAAAGAAAAAATGTGTAATTCAATCCTCTAATTTATGCAATAATAATGATTTTTTTATAAATTATAAGAAAAATATAATTAGATCGGATAATATATAAATCTAAAATAATTTTAATAAATAAATTTTAAATATTATATAGAAACGAAAAAAAAAATTTAAAAACATTTTCGAATTAGAGTATCACGTTGTTATAAAGTCGAGATCCTATATGTGCAAAGGACTCGAAGAGAAAACATTTAAATTACAGCCAGCTTTGCTGCGTACTCAATACCATCAGCAAACCAGTAATGCCAGACCATCCAACCAGTAGTAACAGTAACATTTTTAACACGTGTCTTTTGATGACGGGGCCATCGACTTTGGATCCAGAAATTATCTGTTCGTCACATTATGGGCCGTACTTTTGGGCCTTTAATACTGTTTCGGAACAAGTATGGACAACAGAGAGATCAAGGAAAACGACGACGGGGCCCAATAAATTAGGTTGTGGCTTTGAAATTCGGGAGCCGAATTGACCTATTCCTTCTTTATCCCCAAAAAAGAAACAAAAGTGTCAGCTGCCATGGGGTCCGTACAACCTTGTCATTTCACTTTCCCATCACAGTTCTTTGGAGTCCAGCTGTTACGATAGTATCTTGATCGGATAAACGATACAATTATCCAAAAACAAAATTATTTATCCTTATCTATCAATTTACTTTTTACCTCTCAAACTAATTATATTTTCAATCTATAATAATTTTTGTGTGTAATTTCCTCTTTTATCTTCTTTTCGTTCTCTTCTCCTTTTCTCTTTTCTCATTTTCTTCTTATTGTTTTCCTTTTTCTCCATTTCGATTTTTTATTTTTTACCCAAATTATATTATTATTATTATCATAATTTAATTTCACACTCAATTTTGGCTCGTTCTTTTCTTTTCTTTTTTTGCTTTTGTTTATTTCTTTATTTTTTTCTCATTATTCTTTTTTTTTTTTAAACAATAAGAAAAGATAAATGATATAGTAAATATTTACTCACCTCTTTCTTAATATACTCGTATAATATATATTGTCTTTTTTTTCTTCTTATTTCCCTTTTTTTTTTAAATAAATTATTAGAACAACTTATTCATTATAATTATTTTCTCATCTCTTTTTTGCTTTCATTTTTTTCTTTTTTAATTTCCTTTATTATTATTTCAAAAAACAAAATCGGAATCTAATTCCGCACATATTTTGGCCCCTTTATTTTTGTTCTTTTTATTTATTTATTTTTTATATATTATTTATTAGTAAATAACTTACTTTAGCATATATTATATAAAAAAATAATATATTAGCATCAGTTGAATTATATTATTGCAGTATACTATGTCACCCACATGTTATACTAGAAGACCCATTAATTATTATTTTAAAAAAATTAGAAATAAATATCAAATTTAACTATATTGTTACGCTATACCATATATTATAATAGTATATTATTCAATAAATGATATATTATGAATAAAATATTATATATCAAAATAATATATAGTAGGTTATCTTGATATATAGTACATATTAGTCTTTTTCGCTAGATCAACTCAATTTCAACCTAAATTTCAAAAATCTACTCCAGAATTTCTATCAAATTTACTCGAATGTTGGCCACAATCTTCAATCAAATATTTTAAACTAAATATTTTGGTTTAAAATTTTTTTTTTCTAAAAACGTGAGAACTCCGTTGTAAAGTTGAAAAAGAACTCAATAAAAATTTCAAAAAATTCTAAAAGATCCAAATCATAATAGTATACTATTATGTTATTGGAAAGAACTGTATACCAAAATAGTATATAGTATAGCATTTTGGTATACAATACAAATTCTTGTTCGTTTGTTCAAAATAATAAATTATACACTATTAAATTAAATATTATATACCAAAATGATATATAGCATGCTATTTTAGTATATAGTATAAATTAGTCTTTTTCACTAGTTCAACTCAATTTTAACGTTATTTTGTAATATAGTACAAAATAGTCTTTTTCACTAATTTAACTCAATTTTAACTTAAATTAAAAAAATCTACTCTAGATTTCACCAAATTGACTCAAACTTTGGCCACACCTCTAAACAAATATTTCAAACTAATTATTTTGGTTTAAGAAAAAAAATTAAAAAAATACTCCATTGAAAAGTTTAAAAAGAACTCAATGAAAATTTTAAAAAATTCTAAAAGGATCAAATTGTAATAGTATATTGTTACATTATATAGTATACTGTAACAGTATACCGTTGGAAAGAACTGTATACCAAAAAATAATATTAATTCGTCTTCGCCAGTTCAACTCAAATTTAAAAAATTTACTGCAAAATCTCCACCAAATTCGCACAATGTTTAGCTACAACCTTCAATCCTCTATGATACCAACGTGGTATATATCATATATTAATAGGGTATCATAGATAACTGAACAACATATTAGTGTCTAACGTTATTGTAAAATATTTTACAAAGTAATATACTAGCAAGGTATATAAATATACCAACTAGGCATATTACTACTCTATGTCTGTTTCTACATCTACTTCTAATAATGTGAATAATATCTCTATGGAACTCCATCAAACATCTCTTTTAAGATTTTT